ATTTCGAAATGTCAGTATTAATGCTTTTATAAGTTGCATACAGATATTCGTCAGGAAATAAAAAATGGCATACTTTTTTTGCACGCGCAAAAGTTGATACAGTTCAACGCGCTAATTATTTAGCTGACTTTCTCTTTGCAGCAAAAGACCATTTAATAACTTTTCTGGTGCACTAGCAAATTCATACACTCTATTCATACGTGATAACTGATGACCTAAGTAAAGCTGCAAAGCTAAGACTACTTCTAAAATAGTACCCTTGTTCAAATAAAAAAATAATTTCTTTTTTCAGGGTTGCCAATAGTTTAAAAAAAATACTCGTAAATATAAATAAAACTATAATTGTTTGCAGTAAGTACGTTTTTTTTATTAATAAGTTTATTATTGATGATTAAAGACAATAAATATTAAATATGTACTTAGAACTTATATTTTAAATAATTTTGTAAAGTGCTATTTATTCATTCTATCTTTTTTAACTTAAATATTACTTACACTTAACTATTAAAGAAATTCACATGCAGGTTTAACACCTGCTTTAAATTTCTAAGAAATTAATTAAAATTCTAAGAAATCTATTGTTAACTGACACGCCGGCGTGTACGCGGTCGTGGATGTCCTCCATCCAACAGATTACATAACTGGTGACGTTACTTTAGAGAAATTATTATTATCAATCAAGCGTTAGTAAATACTCTGAATAGTGTTTACATTTACTCGTATTGTAAATGATTTGTGTAAATAATGATATAGCTATTAGTTTCTCACGTTTCTACGATAAATATGAACATTCTGCTAAGTTTAACGAAAATGAAAATTTTAACTGATGTAAATTATAGATTCGTGAAGATTTAGCTTTAAGAGGGCATCGTTTTAATAGGTTTTGGTATGAGTTAATTTTAAAAAGTGGTCTAAAAATTAATAATATTGAAAAATTGTTCCGATAAATGCGAGCAAAGCTGCGAGATATAACTAGTCTATACTATTATAAAAAAATATTTAGATGTATAGATTAGTAAATATTCAGTACAGAAAGCAACTATCCCTGAGCATTGGCTATTTTAAAACGGTTTTAGTAGCTTCGCTTGTAATTAACGACGTAATTTAATGTGGGAAGCTGATTTTCACCGACTTCTGTAATTGTGGTGTTGTACCTACTTTTTGTAATATAATATCACTAATATTATAAAAGTTTGTAACGATTGATGGATGGAAGGATGGGTGTAACAAACGCACATACGCGTATTATTCTTTCATGCAAAAACCACTGATCGGATTTTGATGAAACTATACAGTAATATAGTTCATACATTAGAGTAACACAAATGCTATTACTTATAAAGATATAACTTAGCTATATAGCGAGCAGATTACCTGGAAAACGCTAGTTCATTAATATCTAGCGAGTTTGATAATGGTTTCGGAAGTTGAATAGACCTTCTCAATAGCTACTCGTAAATTTCGAGTTCTTTATTTAATTTTGACGGGTTAAAAGTTGTCTTCTTTTTACTTTTTTTACATTCTTTTATAATAAATCTATAGATATTGTAAGAACCACTTTTGATGGTAATTTCATATAAATAAAAATGATATGTAGTAAAAGCGTTGTTAGTTGTTACATATCAAAAGTACCTGCGTATTTAACGAACGTTAAGATCACAATTTAGATATACCTTAATCGTTTTGTTCTCATAAGATGGGAAATTGTTATGCATTATAAGTCGACTTATATGGATACGTACGTACTACGTAGTTAACATTCATTGTTACACATTTCCAAAATCTTGGTGGAAACAATTTGTTTCAAAAATGTGAGTAAATCGTTTTTTATTAAACAAATAATATGATTTTTTTATATTTTCGGTATGTTATGAAATTGATAGATATTTTATTCCATTTTAAGACTTTTGGGCTTTATCTAATACCTTTAAACGAGCAATTCTTGTAAATTTATTTATTTATACCGGAAACGGGTCTAACGATTTTTCGGTGGCGAAAAACCTATCTAGATTAAATCTTGTCTAGGAAAACGCGTGTTTTCGAGTTTTCACGCATTATTCCACGCAGAATATAGTCGCTAATTTCGCACGCTTGGGCATAAGCATCGTGATCAAGCGGGAAATTCGCAAGATTGACGATCCCGGTCGGATGCAAAGTTTTTACTTTTGTTTTTTTTTTGTATTTATTCAAAATTATAGTTTTTTTTTGTTTTTAAGCCAAATTAAAAAGAAATTTGTACTTTTGGCCAAAATCTTGATTATCATCTAATAAAGACGATATAACAAAAAAGAGCCCCAAACAAAGCTCAGTCGCCTAGGTCTACGGTCTACGTCGCCTACTCAGCACATAGAGATCAGATGTAATTTTTGTTTTACTATTGTCAAAAAGTAATATTTGTTTCATTGTACGTATAGTGTTGTGTAAATGTTTATTTTTCAAGTGCGGGACGGATATTAGAAAAATATATTATAATGATCCCTTCGTAAAAGTAAATGATAAAAATGAAATACCTAGCAGCAATTATCTTTGCAGTGGCAATAACACTTTATCAGTACTTTATGCAACATAAAAATTATAAATACCTATTTGCAATTGGAGCAAACAATGACATTGTGTTGCATGATAATAAAAAGTTGTTCATTATATTATTTTGTTAATATTATACAATTTATTAGTAGGCAATGGTGGCCTAGTAGTGCCTAATTAAGAAAGGGATCGCTTGAGAAACCGAGTAAAGCGGGTTCAAATCCCGGGTCTCGCGCCTCTGATATTTTCACGTGCGAATCATTTCTAACATGATTAACGGTGAAGGAATACATCGTAAGGAAACCTGCATGGCTGAGAGAACATAGCAAGTTTTCGAAAGACATGTGAAGTCCGCCAATTCACTTATGGCTAGCGTGATGGACTATGGCCTGAAGCCCTCTTTGGGCCCCTCGCACTGAAGGGAGGCCCGTGCCTATCAGTGGGATACATATTCACATACAATTTATGTTATTTAGTGATATTTATTGCATTTTAAAATAAATTTAATATCCATAATAATACATAATTGTACCTTGCTGTTACTCATTATATTAATTATCAATTTATGAACACTTGTAAACAAAAGATTTTAAACTCAAAAACAATTTAATCATTATAATAATTTATTAAATTGTTGTTGTCTAGCTCATAACATGTACTTGATTTATATATATATATATATATATATATATATATATATATATATATATATATATATATATATATATTCACGATTATTGCAAATTAAACAAAAACGATCTTAAAACCAAAAGATGTCACACATCCTGAAGAAGTGGCATTATTCACTAATTTATCATATTATAAAGTATAATTTTTTTTTATTGATTTTTGATTGAAATTTATATAACACACTATAGACGTATACCTAATTAATACCTATCCATTAAAAAATGAACAATGAAAATCTATCTTTATTGAGGGGAGATACAAGATGTCTACACAGCAAGCAGCCGAACAATATAAGAGTCGAATAATTAAAATCATTTTAACCGAAATATTTAAAAAAAATATATATTAATACTATTACATACTGACTTACATAATAATACTACAAATGATGCTAATTTATTAGAAAAATATGTTAATGTGGGTATAAAAAATCCTAAAATCTATTTGTATTTAAAACAATCATATAAAATATGCGAAAAGGCAATATGTATAGATAAATAAATAAATAAAATAAGATTATACCAAGATTGATTAATTACAAACAAATGAAAATAACAACTGTAATTTTTAACTTTCTCATCTCCATACATAATAAGTAATAACGAAACTCACGCAATCATTAAAAAAAAGGAACGGCTCAATTGATTTTGCCGAAATTGTCACTGGTGGATAGGTTTGGGTGAAGTAGGAGTGTTACAGGGGTATTTTACCATAGTTAGGACACGAACGGAGAACAAAAAACTAGTTGAAAATATAACATGAGAAATATAATTACTATAACAATTATATGCAAGTATGTCCGAATGTTAAATATATTAATAAGATATGTAGTTTAATTTAAATATCTATCTGCAATATAAAAAAATGCCCAAAACACTTCATTCTGAGCCACAGGTTAATCGAAACCGTTTACAATTCAGGCTATTACCGTAATAGCATTGCAACTCACAGACTCCAAGCCGTCTACCACCGGTTACTGGCTTGCAAGTCTAGCCTTGAAACGAGAAAATAAGCAAAAATAATATCACAGGCCATAGACCCCTCGACCATAAAGTTTTGCAATCCTTATACAATGTTTGCGTATGCAAAATAATTACTCGACGATACGTTTTTTGTTGAAGACCATTAATAACAGAAAACAAATTTTTCTTCTTTAATTTTTTGTCATATACTAACAAGCTAATAAATGTGCATTTTTTTATAACATAGTGTTACACCCAAGTAAAGATAATATACTCGTAAGTTGCAAAAATAACAAAATGTGATTTTTTATACCTCAGGTCATAAGGCAAAACTAACATTTACCATATTTTATAAGTAATAAATTACTGGTCATACAGCATATAAAAATGTTCTTCAGAATTGCCTGTATTTAAGAGAATTTATATAATAATGTACATTGTAATAAATATTTAACAAAAATACAAGCCAAAAACCACCTAAAAATGGACAAAGTATTCCAACTACCTTCGACTCACATAGCTAAATTTTATAATTTCTTCATAGAAATAATATTTAAAATTTCAGTAAAATTCGATATAAATGACGTAAAATAAGTAATACGTAAACCACACAAAAAATACGTATTATAAATAATATAATATTCTTTTCTACTTAAACGGACTTTAACTTAACTTCTCATTAAACTGTGAACCTTGAAAACTTGTTTGAATAGTGATGTTTAAAGTAGTTAGCATTTATCTTGCTTAAATTAATTAATATGATAAATGTACTCATATAAAAATTATGTAGCTTAAAAAATTAAAAAAAATCTAAAAACTTACCTATATAATGTAGTGCAAACTGAAAAAAAAATTAAAAAGAAGCGTAACGTTGATGGTCGAAAAATATGAATGAGTCCTATATAAAAATCCCGAGCACAATATCTTCTCACTGACGCACTGTCACTTTTCAATGGATGTACCGGCTTTTTTATTCTGTGGTCATCACGCCACGTCTGTGCGGCTCCTGCACGTGGCGTGTTCGCTAGACGATGGTTCGGTGCGGACTGGCGTTTAGTTTACACGCACGTTGTATCGCTGACACTATCGCCGACTGCACTGACTCGACTCATACAAATACGAATAAGTATACAGACACACTCAAAAACCCTAAATGATTGAAAAAAAAAACAATAGTGATTTCGTAATAATCAGTTGTTAGGAAACCCTAAGCCAAAAATACGCCGAAGAATCCTAAGCAAATATCAAACAATAGTTTTTAGTTAATTATAGTATTTTGAATAGCTAATCGCGTGACAAATACGAAAGTAAGTGATCTGGTTTTAAGTAGGATATATAAAAACCAGTCGCTGCCCCTCAACAGTGTGATATATTTTGACCCCAAATGCAGTAGGTAGTGATACGTATGCCTAATCGAGAGCCGTCTAACTAAAATACCGGTCCAGACGCGGTCCAACATCGTACGACAATCGCACCACCTAAGATAAATGTAATATTCTTGTTTTTTCTAAGAGCAACGTTCGCATTTACTAGCACGTGATTATATAGCCTTTATACAAATAATGGGTTTCTACCTCATTTAATTGTTTTTGCTATTGATAAGTCAAAAGATTATCTGTCCAAAATAAGTTTTTTTTGTCAGATAGTTATTATTTATTCACATATCTGTGTTTTATTTTTTACACTTGATAATATTCAATTTAATATACAAGATTTCGTAAAATCTACTCATACGGTTGGAATTCCAAATGTATTTTAGTTACTTTTTGCTCACTGTTTCATTTGTGTAGGTTGTGGTGGATAAGTCTTACTGCCAGCGTGCTGAAATTATACTTTTAACATTATACTTAATTTTAATTAATTATGTAAGGTAAAAATAAATAAATTAGTAAAGATAAGTACAAAGCCCTTAATGTCATCAATCGAACTCTATGAAGATATTGTACATAATCTATACATACCTAGGAGTATAATAAAATTCTGAGTCGAATCTGTACATGAAATATTGTAAAATCTTATTGAAATAGGCATTATTATGGTACAGAGACCAAATCTATACTTAGTTTTTAGAATATTTGTCTGTCTATCTATCTGTCTGGGAATGCATCACGAGAAAACCACTGGACAGATTTTGATTAAAAATTTGGTATGGTTGGCCGGGTCAACATATAGGATACTTTTTACTGCAGGAAAATATCTCATCTCTGAGAAATCTATACTAGACCTTAAAACGTAACTAGGGACGAACCCGAGCGGAGGAAGGATGAGTCGTTAGTAAGAAATAAATCATTAAATATTCCAAAATACAGTGATAGTTCCAGAGATGATCGTTCAAACAAACAAAAAAGCAAACTCGTCAGCTTTATATATTGGTTAAGATTGCAAAAAGTTACTAAAGGACATACGAGGAGTAGCTATTAACGAAACAAGAATTGATCACCAGTAATATGTCGATGGTATGCAAATAATAGTAAGACTTACTTTTGAGCATTAATAAAGAATATCAATTATAAGAATCAAGTAAACGTTGTAAGCAGAAAGTCGCTCGTGTTTCGTTGACATTGTAAACTCAAATTTCACTCAATCGACATTTAAAGTGAAAAGTGAGTAATAATTTAAAGTAACAATTCGTTTAAAACAATTCAACGTGTTATTATAATTTGTTAGCGTTATAACTTTTCATTTATGAGGCATCTAGTGCACAAAACTTATTAAATTTGACCTGACAAAATAGGCTAAAAACTTTCTTTCTTTCACATCCATCATTTATCTACGTATACATACATCGTTAGTTACGTACGTACATATTATAAAGTAAAATTATTATATTGCTTCCCCATACAAACTTTCGTCCCCATTTTCACCCCCTTAAGGGATAATTTCCGGGATAAAAAGTATCCTATGTACTTCCCAGGGTCTCAAACTATCTTCTTACCAAATTTCATCTAAATCGGTTTAGTAGATCTAGAAATTACCCTCTACAACGTCACAAACTCACAAACTCATAAACTTTACCTCTTTATAATATTATAATATAGATGAAGATTTTGAGTTTTCTTATCTTCTATCTCTACAGTCTAAAACACAACAAAAATTAAGTTAGAATTTATATACCCGTGATATTGTTGCAAATGTTTGCAATTGCAACTATCGTAGTATAAAAATGACATTTGAATATAGTTTAGTGCAATCTATAGGTATAGTATGTGTAATGTACTATTTAGGAGAGACCGTTAGCATTATAGCGTATAATTCAGTAGCTATATAGGATGAATATAATCACGTTAATATAATGAATGCGAAAATAGAAGAATAAGAGAGTGAAAACCCTCATGATGTCATCACGAAGTAACAATAAAATAAGTACTTATACATAATAGCATGTGAGAGTGATCCCGTAAAGTCCCAACAAGGCCATCTCGAGAGTGTAAGATCATTTTACAGTCAGCCACTACATTCAACGAAATGAATATTTTGCTAATCAAAAGTAAAATGTAATGTAAAATTTTGAAATTGATTTCTAATAATAATAAACTACAAGCTACAATAAAATATTATTAATAATTATAATAAATAGAAGTATATTAAGGCTTAATATGTATTTCCTATATCAAAGATTAAAACTTATTTAAATACATGGTCAATTTTCACATAGTAATATAATAAGTGCAAATATTTCAAGGGTAAGTCATCTTTTAATCCCTTTTAAAAAATAATCTTATCACCGTTATCTTCTCCATGAAAGAGACCAAATATTTTCTATAATGCAAGAAGTGAATATCTATCTATAGATAATTGTTTGTCCTGACTGATTCATCAACTCAGAGCTTAAACCACAGGGGTTAAAAACTTGAAATTTTGGCCGTTGATGCATTTTATGATGAAAACATCCACGTAGGAACGATTTGTTGAAATTCTACCCCTAAGGGGGTAAAATAAGGGTTGTATGGAAATCCGTCATTTTCAAAGTTAGAAGCATGAAATTTCATATACAGGCTTCTGGTTACAAATAATTAATAAATATGTGTTTCAGAGTTTTTGGTTGTGTTACTTTTACACAAAAAATATACTTAAAACATTAAAATTAAGCCGATGCAAAGCAAATCCAATATATTTCCATCGATATTTAATATTTAACTATACAATTATAGTTCATACTTAATATTATATTTACTTAATATTATATTTACCTATTAGATATTCATGTGTTAAAATATTGTCGGCTGGCACCGACTTCGAATGTATCTGATTAGGTAGATACCTATTCAGATTTTAGATATTCATGTGTTAAGATATTATTAGATATTCATGTGTTAAAATATTGTCGGCTGGCACCGACTTCGAATGTATCTGATTAGGTAGATACCTAAGTTCTAAGTGAAAACCCCCGCTTAGTTATTTTTTACATTTTAGTGCCTGGAAGTCGGCTTTTATATTTTTTTTAAGTTTTTATTTTTCAATTTTTAGTATAGACGTATTAAGTAGATAATTTGTAAGAAGAAAGTTTTACCCACATATTCGATTAAGCAATTTAATTAAAAAAACATATTATTGTTGATTTTTTAAAGACCACTTAACCGATTTCGATAAAATTTAAATGGGGCCACCTGGGAAGTATACTCTTCGAAAAAAAATTTCCAAATCAGTTCAGAGTTCAGACGTCTTCGAGTAATCGGTGAACATACATAAAAAAAAAGATTCCGACGAATTGAGAACCTCTTCCTTTTTAGAAGTCGGTTAAAAATAAAAAAATGACCTCAAACTAATAAAAATAATTTATTTAATTACAAAAACACGACTGCGTAAAAAGCGAATTAAAAAGATGAGAACTAGTTGACAAAGGATCTTTAAAAATAACGTACATTTTAAGCTGTTTATATTATACTAGCGGACCCGACAGACGTTGTCCTGTTTACACGTCTTTAATTTGAAAATTTCAAACTTTTTTTAATAATTTTTTTGATGTAAATTATTATTCAAATTGTGAATCTAAACCATTCCCAGATCCCCTTGAACACACACAAAAAATTTCATCAAAATCGGTCCAGTCGTTTGAGAGAAGTTCAGTGACATACACACTCACAGAAGAATTATATATATAAAGATTAGCTGACTTACATGATTCTTCATCATCATTGTACTCTCTAGACTCTTTCTCTAGAGGAAGACCTCTAACTTTGAAAAGATGAAGTAGGAAATGTGCAAAAATAGAGGTCGTGAAGCTTACAAAATGCAAAAGACGCGGATTCTGCTAGTTTTAGAACAATGCTTCGTAAATTATAATGTTACTAATCACTAATTGTTTACAGAGTTAAATTAACAATATAGATAAAAATATTTAAAACTAAATATTTTTTTATTCTATGTAGGATAATTAAATTATAAATTATTTTTATAAATAATAAAGAATGTTAAGCAACTCTAAATCTTACAAAATGTTGATATATACCTACTTGACTATGACCAACGCCATTCGAACTATATTTCATATACTTGTCTTAAGTTGATGAAACGAATTTATTAATTTTTTATCGCTTTTCCTTGAGAGATTTATTCATATGATCATGCGGAAACCGAATATAACACTTATCACACATGCTCCAATACACAATGATTGTCGTTTAAACAAATTAAATAAAAATAAAAAGTAAATATAGTATAAAAAAATATTCATGCATAGCATACACATTTTACTTTATTTCTTATTTTAAAACTGTAAACTCCTCCTGGGCGAAAACACAAGTGCGCTCTTCTTTTATTCCTTTCACTCTCTAACCTAGGTGATACGACGATTCGACACAACCGAAGATCCAACACAGGGCCGGCTTTACATGCTCTCCGATGCCGGCAATGAAACGCCTCCAACTCAGAGCAGTTGATGAGTATTTCTTATATCAATAACTATACTTGACCCGACCCGAGACTCAAACTTAAGACCTTCAGTACTCCAGCCGTACATGCTAGCTGCTTAATATTTTTACTGAATCAAACAAAGGACACCATTAAACAATCAGCATGTCAGCAGCGCAAATAATAACTTAAAGATCCTGACTGAGACTGGCCTTGACCAACTGTGACATTGTACTGAAAAATTATAATACCTTGAATTTTTTGTTTATTTTTATTATACAAAGTTATTTCCTGCAAAATTTGAAGGTCTATTATAACAAAATATGATATTTTTATATTAAAAAGTTTTTATTCACATAATTTTATGGTTGTATCGTCTCGTTTTGTTAAAATTCTCTCACCATAGGTTTTCTGGTAGGGATTGTTTTTACCAATGAAGCTGCCTTTCATGCCTCACGTATTCTTTCGGACACATTCTACGTATTGCACATACAATAAATAGACCATACATACATAGATGTTGTCCGAAAATCTTATATATAAAATTTCCATGTCACAATATATATTTTTTTATTTAAAATTTTATTACATTTTTTAAAACACTAATCTAAACACTAACAGCGCAACAAAAACCATGTATGATTTTCCCGTGCACTGCGGATTCATGCGCGGTAGTTAATTAAACATAAATCTATTAAAAACAGGTAAGAATATAGGTTTGTTACCGTACTCCTCCGAAACGGCTTTACCGATTTTTACCAAATTTTATATGCGTATTCAGTAGGTCTGAGAATCGGCTACTATCAATTTTTCATACCCCTAAGTGATAAGGATAAGGGTGGTCCTCCCAGACACCACCCCAGGGACGAACCCGAACGGAACGAGGGTGAGTCGCTAGTAATAAAATAAAAAGAAATTGTATCGTCAATATTTATTGTTTTTGATGAATTTCAAAACATATGTTAATCCATACTAATATTATAAAAAGGTAAAAATTGTGAGATTGTGAGTTTGTGACGTGTGTGTAGGGGTAATCTATGGATCTACTGAACCGATTTTGATGAAATTTGGCAAAACGATAGTTTGAGACTCTGGAAAGGACATAGGATACTTTTTTCCCGGAAAATATCCTTTTAAGAAGGTGAAAATGGGGATGAAAGTTTGTATGGGGAATCAAGCTAGGGACGAACCCGAGTGAAGCGAGGGTGAGTCGCTAGAATAACATAAAGCCTAAGAGTTATTTTTGTAGATTGAACGCGGGCGTTGCCGCGGGTTCTGTTAGTGCTTCGTTACTCCACGAAGGAAAGACAAACAAACAAAACCATAAACACAGCTACAATTCTATATAAAATAGAAACATCGTGAAGTCGAGAACGCTAGGTTATATGGGTAGGTCGTAGGAACATGATATCAGCTGAGATAATTACTTTAATGGATGTCACTGGAGGAAAGTTAACATAACCTGAGTAATCGTGTACGACACAATAAGTGCTTGACACCGTGTCGACGGACGATAATGAAGACAATTGCCGCATTTGCAAGATAATAGAAGTGGATGGAAACGACTAGGTAATCTATTAGATGCTCTGTTACCGTAGAAAATACTGCCCCAGTTTACTAATTGAGGCATCATTACATTGA